CCCGGCAGACGAGAGGCTCTTATGTCAGCCGGAGGGAGAGGGAGTTATCAGCAACAACAACACCCTCACACCCACCTCACGTCCCTCACGGCTGGTTTATGAGGTAGGCGGACTGGTTTATGAGGTAGGCGGACTCCTGGTTTATGAGGTAGGCGGACTCCTGGTTTATGAGGTAGGCGGACTGGTTTATGAGGAAGGCGGACTGGTTTATGAGGTAGGCGGACTCCTGGTTTATGAGGTAAGCGGACTCCTAGTTTATGAGGTAGGCGGACTCCTGGTTTATGAGGTAGGCGGACTCCTGGTTTATGAGGTAGGCGGACTCCTAGTTTATGAGGTAGGCGGACTCCTGCTTTATGAGGTAGGCGGACTCCTGGTTTATGAGGTTGGTGGACTCCTGGTTTATGAGGTAGGCCGAGTGGTTAATGAGGTAGGCGGACTCCTGGTTTATGAGGTAGGCGGACTCCTGGTTTATGAGGTAGGCGGACTCCTGGTTTATGAGGTAGGCAGACTCCTGGTTTATGAGGTAGGCGGACTCCTGGTTTATGAGGTAGGCGGACTAGGTTTATGAGGTAGGCGGACTGGTTTATGAGGTAGGTGGACTCCTGGTTTAGGAGGTAGGCAGACTGGTTTAGGAGGTAGGCGGACTGGTTTATGAGGTAGGCGGACTGGTTTATGAGGTAGGCGGACTCCTGGTTTATGAGGTAGGCGGACTCCTGGTTTATGAGGTAGGCGGACTCCTGGTTTATGAGGTAGGTGGACTCCTGGTTTATGAGGTAAGCGGACTCCTGGTTTATGAGGTAGGCGGACTCCTGGTTTATGAGGTAGGCGGACTGGTTTATGAGGTAGGCGGACTCCTGGTTTATGATGTAGGCGGACTCCTGGTTTATGAGGTAGGCGGACTGGTTTATGAGATAGGCGGACTCCTGGTTTATGAGGTAGGCGGACTGGTCTATGAGGTAGGCGGACTGGTCTATGAGGTAGGCAGACTGGTTTATGAGGTAGGCGGACTGGTTTATGAGGTAGGCGGACTGGTTTATGAGGTAGGTGACTGGTTTATGAGGTAGGCGGACTGGTTTATGAGGTAGGCAGACTCCTGGTTTATGAGGTAGGCGGACTCCCTCTCCCGTTTGGTGTGAGAGAGAGAGAGAGAGAGGTGAGAAAAGGGGGAAGGGAGAGGGAAGGAGGGGGAAGAGAAGGAGTGACATGAAGAGATATGAGGCGAGAGGAAGTGAGGGAAGGAAGACGAGATTGTTTGGGTTGTTAGGAAGGTTGAATGGTTGAATGGCTTGGGTTGTTTGGGTGAGTGAGGCACTGGGAGGTTGTTGAGTGGGTCTTTTGGGGGGGAATGGTGTGGTTGAGTGGTTTGGCTTGTTTTTTTGTTTTTTAAGGTGTAGTTTGCGAGTTTTATTTTTATGATATTGGTATGTGGAAATGGATTTTTTTTTTGTTGTTGTTGTTGTGATTTCACTGAACATGTAATTTTTTTTTTTTTTTTCAGTTTGCATTTCCTCAGGTAATAATCCTTCTTTCTGGATTACTGGAATTGTCACCTTGCACCTAAACTGCAGAGGCTGACCTGACCACCAAATGAAATATATGTTAATTTGTCAGAAGACCTTTGCACAGCCAAAATATTTATAACATTCAAAGAAACTTTTCTTCTATACCATTCCCTTCGCTGGTTTTGAAGATGGCAGAGAGGTTGTAAGACTCATAAATTCCTGGAGCTCCATGATCTACACAAAAAGAAAATACCATGTAACTGAAGAAAGTGGTCCCAAAATTGAATGTGATTTTAGTGGATGATGTATTTAAGGGAAACTGAATGAGCCAGTTAGGCTGCAGATGATTGTGACATGTTGATAGGCCAGTGCTGTCAAACTTTTGAGTACCAATTTTGATTTCAGATGTTGCTAATTCTTTATAGTGCAGATGCACTTGCCAGAGAATAAGTCGCTAACAAAATTTGTTTAACAATCTAAATTGTGACAGGGTGTTCCCGAATTAAGTGTTCTACCACCTAATACCACATCACAAAATTTATTCAACAATCTAAGTTGCTGTGACTATGCATACCCTTTGGGCAATGCCCCAGTTGAAGGTTGATGGGGGCTATGCCTCTCAACACCCCCCAGAAAACAGGATGGAGCTGAAACTCAAGTGGATTTGCACTGTGAACGGTTCTTTCAGTGATCCTTTTCCTTTATTTCCTTTATGTCTGCAGATTATTTTAGTTCCCTACAAGAATATCATCTTCAATTTGCCTTACCCTATTGCATCGTACTGTTAAGATTAACCAAAGTCTGTTTTATGTATGAAGTTTTGATAGTGATACAAATGGGGAAAAAGTATATGTATATTCTTTAGTAAGGGGCTGCTACTGTGTATTCTACAATTTGAATTTATTTTTAAACATACGAGATCCGTGATTTTCATTTATAATTGCTCTGTGCATCTTCCCTATGTAGTAGCAGTATTGCTGTCAATAACAATATGAATTAAACTATTGGCATTGAAGTAAAGGTGATATATGAATTTTAGAATTACTGTCACGAGGCAAGCCATTTATTATCGTCCAAGGGTCATGTTTGACTGTGGGCCATGAGTTTGATATCCCTATGAGAGGTGCTAACATTGGCTCTCCCCCTTCATTTTGTGAAATGTGTCATGAAAGGCCTGTCTACATGAGCAGGCATGATCAGCAGATACAAGGGTGGCACAAGTAGACATAACATCACAGGGAGGCATCGACTTGATAAAAAAAAAATTTTCCTTGTTGTTTTCTTTCCTGTGACGTAAGGAGACTGCTGATCACTGACGTGCATTTTCCTTGGCTCTATCTCCCAAGAATATACTAGTTGAGGATTTTGTAGACTAGGCATTTGATATAAATTTTCCAAATTTCAGTTTCACTAACACCTGTCAAAAACATATAAGAAGACTTAACTTGATCCTTGAGTTTAGGCATATTATGTGTCACATTGATAAAAAAAGTGGAGGAGCAGTAGTTTGAAAGTATAAAACTCGTATTTTGAAATAGGGGGTAGTCTAAACTCATCCAGATCATAGGTTCAGGTTTGAAGGGATGGGGGTTTAACCGTCATAACTACAAAACTAAGGTAAAATTTGATAAAATATTTCAGACTTTTGAATGATATACAGTTTTCATTCTTCTCTGACTTTCATCAGACACCTCCCTTAAAAATTACTGTTTCCGGATTTACCCTTTTTCCTCTCAAGTGTTTAGGAAACTTTATTTTGAAAGCTCTTATTTAACCACCTGTCTATTATATGTAAGAATGACATATGATTGGCTGAATTACATATATTTTTTTGTACTTTTTGCTAATTCATGTTGGAAATTTTTGGGGTACATTCTGGAATTCTTTGTTGATATAGTTATAGTTAAAGTAATGTGCCAGTATATAATTAAGTAAATTTTATTTTCAGCAACATTGGTTATTTGTCATAAGGGAAATATTCTGAAGGATGTCTGTTTTACTCCTCCATGTAGTAGACTGATGATCTGTTGATTATGATTTTTTTTTTTGTCTTTGTACTGAAAAATATGCCTAACCAACATATTTTTTTGGTATAAAGTATATGTGTATATATATCTTTTTTAACACCATACCATCCATAAAGAAAGTTTCCTAATCCTCTGTAAATGTTTGAGTACATTTTAGCTTGTGACTTTATTTCAATGTTATTGTTTGGTAGCTGCAGATTCTTTCTTTGATTATTATGAATCATCTGCAGAGACTATATTAGTATTAAAGTTTAGTTTTTTTTTATGAATTTTATATTTGTGTGATTATTTTTCCTTGTCAAGAAATTTGGCATTGATAAGTAGGGGTGGTAAAATCCCATAGTATATTAGACCTTTTTTTCCAAATTTATGCTTCATTGGTGGCCAATTTACCAGGGACAGTCATGTGAAGATAACTGGGAAATTGTGAGGGTTTAATCACACATGCTTAATAAATGTTTAGCAGACACCTGTGTGTCTGCCATTGGTCTTATGCTAAGTGGTGTGGCCTCAGGCCATTGTCATTTCAGTCCTGGTAAGAGAAAGCTTGTTAATCACATTATTAATTTATTGTTAAGTTTGAACCAGTGCAGCTCTATCTTGTCAGATTATATGTGTTTAATGTATGTTGGTATGGCAAAAGCTTGGTAAAGAATCACTAGTATATTTAAACTGTAGCCCATGCATTGTCACTGCAGAAAATTTCCAGTTGATGTGGAGAGTACACAGCCAGTATAATTACAAGAAGAAAGTCTTGTAGCAAAAATAAGTGAGGATGTCTTCTAATAATTTCTGCCATACATGAATATGAAATGATAATGAAACTTCTGAAGCTTAAACTAAAGAATTACATAATGGAAACCTTTCTTATAGTATGATAGAGCTTGTAAACCTCCTTGGTAATTTATGATTTAATAGAGGCAGTCTAAGCTCAACCTTTTATAAATGTATGTTGTACAGGGTTGTTGGCCTTTGTTGGAGCATAGTGTATGGAGAGGGAGAGAGGGAGAGAGAGTGGAAGAGTGGAAGAGGGTGAGAGGGTGAGAGGGTGAGAGAGTGAGAGAGTGAGAGAGTGAGAGAGAGAGAGAGAGAGAGAGAGAGTGAGAGAGTGAGAGAGTGAGAGTGAGAGTGAGAGTGAGAGTGAGAGTGAGTGAGTGAGTGAGTGAGTGAGTGAGTGAGTGAGTGAGTGAGTGAGTGAGTGAGTGAGTGAGTGAGTGAGTGAGTGAGTGAGTGAGTGAGTGAGTGAGTGAGTGAGTGAGTGAGTGAGTGAGTGAGTGAGTGAGTGAGTGAGTGAGTGAGTGAGTGAGTGAGTGAGTGAGTGAGTGAGTGAGTGAGTGAGTGAGTGAGTGAGTGAGTGAGTGAGTGAGTGAGTGAGTGAGTGAGTGAGTGAGTGAGTGAGTGAGTGAGTGAGTGAGTGAGTGAGTGAGTGAGTGAGTGAGTGAGTGAGTGAGTGAGTGAGTGAGTGAGTGAGTGAGTGAGTGAGTGAGTGAGTGAGTGAGTGAGTGAGTGAGTGAGTGAGTGAGTGAGTGAGTGAGTGAGTGAGTGAGTGAGTGAGTGAGTGAGTGAGTGAGTGAGTGAGTGAGTGAGTGAGTGAGTGAGTGAGTGAGTGAGTGAGTGAGTGAGTGAGTGAGTGAGTGAGTGAGTGAGTGAGTGAGTGAGTGAGTGAGTGAGTGAGTGAGTGAGTGAGTGAGTGAGTGAGTGAGTGAGTGAGTGAGTGAGTGAGTGAGTGAGTGAGTGAGTGAGTGAGTGAGTGAGTGAGTGAGTGAGTGAGTGAGTGAGTGAGTGAGTGAGTGAGTGAGTGAGTGAGTGAGTGAGTGAGTGAGTGAGTGAGTGAGTGAGTGAGTGAGTGAGTGAGTGAGTGAGTGAGTGAGTGAGTGAGTGAGTGAGTGAGTGAGTGAGTGAGTGAGTGAGTGAGTGAGTGAGTGAGTGAGTGAGTGAGTGAGTGAGTGAGTGAGTGAGTGAGTGAGTGAGTGAGTGAGTGAGTGAGTGAGTGAGTGAGTGAGTGAGTGAGTGAGTGAGTGAGTGAGTGAGTGAGTGAGTGAGTGAGTGAGTGAGTGAGTGAGTGAGTGAGTGAGTGAGTGAGTGAGTGAGTGAGTGAGTGAGTGAGTGAGTGAGAGAGAGAGAGAGAGAGAGAGTGAGAGAGTGAGTGAGTGAGTGAGTGAGTGAGTGAGTGAGTGAGTGAGTGAATTATCAAGGCTTCTTGCCCATTTTTCCAAATCTGGAATTTGTTGTGCAGTAGCAACAGTTAACCTAATTTCAATATTGGCATCTTATCAAGTCGTGAGTAGACTGTTCCTCGTGCTGGGATGATGTCCCATTACATCATATGCAGTCGAGCCTGCATTAACTTGGTGACTCTGCATGCTAATGTGTTGTTTGCATGGTAGCAGGAGATTCCATCACAAGTAGGTCAAGGGATGAATTTCATTGAAAAAAGAATTATGAACCTTATTTTTTATAAAGAAAAGAGAATTGTTTCTTGGCTCTTATCATTACTGTTAACCACTTACTGACAAAGCAAAATCTTAAGTAATGGAGTACTACAAAGGGGGTTCAGGTTCAGATTTATCTTTATAAAGGTTTGGAATAAAGTTTCATACTTTAATTTCTTTAACCAAGAATAAGTTTGTAATGAGAGTATTTGTTATAGTTATCATATCATTATTAAAAAAAAAAAAAATAGATATGTTAAGATCCTGTTAGTAGAGAAAATACCTGATTCAAAGTATGCATGTGCTTGAAAAATATGAAGAGTTTTTTTTATTAATGCTCAATGAATCATGAACTTACCTGTCAATTTTTGTATTTGAGGTGTATCTTCTACTGCATCTGTCATATATTCTAGCCTATTTATTTTTATCTCACCAGATGGCAGAGGTGGAGGAAAAAGCCAGCAGCACTAGCGAGAGGCTGCGAGAAGAATACAGACGTCACGTGCAGTCGCAGATTTCACATGACTTGGTTGACACCATCTCTATGCTGGAGCAGCACCAGGTAGAACTGTTGCAACTCTGCGACCAGCTCAAACAGGCCAAGAAACAAGTAAGTGGATTGAAATGTTCATGGTCTTACCATGACCATGTATAGTTATATATTATGTAACTGTTTTACTTGTTTATTTCAAAGTAGTCTAGCAATTTATTTGACAATGTTATTATAGAAGAATCTTGTGCTTATTTCTATATATATATATATATATATATATATATATATATATATATATATATATATATATATATATATATATATATATATATATATATATTTTTTTTTTTTTTTGTAAAGAGTATTTTATTTAGATATCTGTTTAAATCTGCAGGTAACAGATAGTGCTTCTGATACAAAGGCCACAATTAATGCTGTGTTTGAGGAATTCATCGCAGCTGTCAATGAAACAGTCAATGATCGACGCCAGAAGCTTCTGGGCGAGGTGCAGCAAGTAGGTTTAATGTCTGAGGTTTTGCCCTTTTTAGAAATGTGGCATTCATAAATTGCGTATTTATTGATGGGGATATTGAGAAGAGATTATTATCATGTTACCATTTTTAAGATTGTTGGTGATATTTGTTCTTTTCATTCTGAAATTATGATCATTAATAGTTAGTCACTATTATATTAACCCATTCGCCGCGGATTTATGTTCTGTCCCCTGTAGTTTTTAGTGAATTATGTTACATACAGATGGCTCAACATGTACTCAGCCGGCAAGGAGTCTTTCAGTAGGCCCTAGTTACCGACCCTGATTTTCCCATTCATTGCATTGGCGGGAAAATTAATACCATTGCTATCGATACTGTTATTATTGTTATTGATGTTATGATTACCAAATTGTCACTAGAATATTTTAGACAATGAAATGATACAAAAAAACCCTTTCCAAAAGTGAAGGAAAAGGGTAAACAGGTGAAATAGGTAGTTCTTGATAACTGGCTGTTTGGTGATTAAGAACTTGTGGAGCCATCTATGTGTAAATACAATAAATAAACATGTCTCAAAGTGGGTATGGCATCTATTCTTGCCAAATGTGGCGAATGGGTTAAGAGACTTATCAAAGAGCATATTAGCCTTTTGTTGCAATGATCTGTTCTTTTCCGTGCAATAGTGAAAGTAAAAGCCATTACAATTTAATCCTTATGCTGTGCAGAACCTCATCTACTTGTTGCAATTTTAGATGGAGGATGAAGCTCTCGGGCCTCTGGATCAGTGTGAGCGCATACTAGAGTCTCGGGTCAGAGAGGCAGCGGAACGATTAGAACAAGGGAAGAGGCTGGAGAAGCATGGAGGTGTCATGGCAAAGGATACTGTCATGAGATTCCAGGAAGAAGCTGGAGCCATGACGAAGTGAGTGTCTCTGGAAGATTTCTTGTCTGCTTATTGATGTACTTATTAATCCATTGGATCCGGATGCTTGACTGCCCTCACATGGCCTGAAATATGGGCATTAGGCTTACATAAGCGGCCACTCTGATGGGTGTGTGGCTTCTAGGCTGGGCACACATGAACACTTGTATGCGGTGACAAGACTCAATGCCTCTCCTTTGAAATATTATTTTCTCTTTTTCTACATAAGTATTTTTAGCTTTTTTGCCATTTTCCAATGACTATATTTGTCATTTGATTTGCTTTATCCAGATGGTATTTGGCTTGTTTCCTTGCTCAGACTCCATCATCTCCTTAGGTAGTTTGGAAGTCATTACAGTAATAACAATAAGTAATTTTTTTTTCTTTATATTCAGTTTTCTGTAGTACAACCAGCACTGCTGGTTATGATGGCCAGGAATAGGATCCTGTGCATGGAAATAGTGTCCTCTCCAACACTCTTCCAGTCATGGCTAAGGGACATTACATTCCAAATGTAATGTTCCTTAGCAGAAGCCCCTTCTAAACACCAAATGAATCTAATTACCCTCCAAGAGCTTTGTGCAATCATGGCAAGTCATTAATGTCACCCCGGCCTTTAGCCAAAATACTCACAGCAGTGAGTCACCGTCGACCATAGCCAGATTTTCCCATAGAGGCATGTTCATGTCACCTGCCCCTTAAGTCAGTTTTTCTTGTGACGTGATGGTCACATCATCTGGATCGTACAGGTTAAGATGTAAATGATTTGTAATGTTTGGCCATGTTTTATATATTTTTATAAGTGTGTTTTAGGGGTTATCAGGCCTGCATGTAACATCAATTCCATTTATAAATAGATTTTTAAAATAGAACATTTAAATTTCATGTAGATTAAAGGTAAAACACTATTTGATAATATTTGATAGCCAGTTCTTACAATCATGGCAGAATTTATGGCAAATGTGAAGAAATGGGACTGCAAATTTATATATGGACAATTGAAGAACAAAATATGAACTATGTATCTATTTTCGCACAAAGCTTGCCTGAGGTCCCAGTACTGTGTGCGGTGCCATGCATCAGTGTAGAGTTCCCTACCGACCCAACCCTCATAGAAGAAGTGCGAGAGGTGATTGAGCAGGCAGGGAACGTGTCAAGGATGGGACCAGTGCAGATAACGAACATAGTAGAAAGGCCTGGGGCATTACTAGTCACTTGGGAAGAGGTAAGTGTGAGTTTTATAAGCTGAAGAAAGGAAGTGTGTGCGTGTGCATATATATATATGTGTGTGTGTGTGTGTGTGTGTGTGTGTGTGTGTGTGTGTGTGTGTGTGTGTGTGTGTGTGTGTGTGTGTGTGTGTATGTGTATGTGTATGTGTGTGTGTGTGTGTGTGTGTGTGTGTGTGTGTGTGTGTGTGTGTGTGCTTGTGGAGATCTACATAAATGTAAACTTTTATTCCTTCCATGATGTGAAGAATGGTCATTGCAAGTGTGAAATGGTCAACTCTTTCACCTCCCATTCCCCCCCCCCCCCCCTCTCTCTCTCTCTCTCTCTCTCTCTCTCCTCTCTCTCTCTCTCTCTCTCTCTCTCTCTCTCTCTCTCTCTCTCTCTCTCTCTCTCTCTCTCTCTCTTCTCTTTCTCTCTTTTCTCTTTCTCTCTTTTCTCTTTCTCTCTTTTCTCTCTCTCTTTTCTCTCTCTCTTTTCTCTCTCTCTCTTCTCTTTTCTCTCTCTCTCTTCTCTTTTCTCTCTCTCTCTTCTCTTTTCTCTCTCTCTCTTCTCTTTTCTCTCTCTCTCTTCTCTTTTCTCTCTCTCTCTCTCTTCTCTCTCTCTCTTCTCTCTTCTCTCTCTCTCTCTCTCTCTCTCTCTCTCTCTCTCTCTCTCTCTCTCTCTCTCTCTCTCTCTCTCTCTCTCTCTCTCTCTCTCTCTCTCTCTCTCTCTCTCTCTCTCTCTCTTTCTCTCTCTCTCTCTCTCTCTTTCTCTCTCTCTCTCTCTCTCTCTCTCTCTCTCTCTCTCTCTCTCTCTCTCTCTCTCTCTATATATATATATATATATATATATATATATATATATATATATATATATATATATATATGTATCTATCTCTGTATCGGGATATCTCTCTATTTGCCC